TATTTTCTTTTATGTTCCACAAAAGATAGTAAGTGTTATAGAATTTTTCTTTTTGGGTGAACTATCACTTTATTTTTTTATTAAATGATGCTCTAAATAATAAACTAAAACTGCCAGTAGGTGGAGGTAAATGTCTTTATGAGTAAGTCATTGAGTCATTCATTCATTTGATTCCTTCAAACTGCTGATTCATTCAGGAATGAGGTAAACGGCTCTCTTAATGAATGAGCCATCGAATCATTCAGAAACGAATCACCGCTGTGTTATAGTTCTGATGTGGCTTTATAGGTAATATTTTTGTTGGCAAAATGGAGCAAAAACAGACAATATTGTGTTTAAAATATGACACAATGTTAACTTATTCACTGAACTGTTGTGTAAAATCACATTTGCACTCGCGCTATTCGGGACAAAAACAGCACTTGTGTGATACTGCACTCGCTGCTCGTTTCTGCTGATATCGCTTATTTTATAGGCTACATCACACAGTGAGTTGTTCCCCTGTATCATGTTTGCCAACAGTTAACTGTATAAAATATAAGATGATGTACAGGTCTGAGGGTGGGGCAGGTGCGTTAAAATCTTTTAATAACGTTATTTTTCCATAAGAAATTAATTAAATTAACGTGCTAAAACGACATCCTTAATTATATTATAATTATATATTATAATTATATAACAATTGACAGCAATACATATAAATGTGTATGATTGCAGGGGATATTTTTAGACTACATATAAATGAAAGCATAAAATAAATGAATTACAAAATAATTGTTTTGAATATATTCTTTATAAATAAATTATAAAATGCTGTTTAAAATAGTTGGAGGTGGACGCTGCTATCATTGCTTGACATGTCTTATCAACAACCATTTACTAAAATCAGATGCCATTAAATCTCCCTGCAATGCCAGTACCAGACAAGAGATATCTGTCACTTACATCTTAAAATGGGTTAAGATGTAAGTGACAGATCTATTTATATTAACAAATTCATTGATATCCTGTTTTTTAATTAGTTTTGTGAATTATCCCTATTCCAAAATTTCCCTTTTTCCGACACCTAATTCAGAGTGACCTGCTTTCAGCTCTATTGGTGTTAAGTTTCTTAGTGAATTACTTATCAGTCTACATAATGATCACATCCACCCCTCGGCCCTTTTGAGATTCCGAGCCGCTGAGGGGTCTTAACCAGTAATGAAGTGGGAGGGGGGTTCTGCTTGCTAGTACAGAATGGCATGGCCCCTTCCTCCACAGCACGTCTGAAAGTGGTTAATTTATGGAAAAAGAGTGGAGAAGGGAAGGCGGCGATATGGAACACATACCCCCGCGTGACTGAAGGTTGTGCACCAGCAGGGGGAGGAAGACGAGGAGAAAGAGAGAGGGAGATACTGAGAGAGAGAGAGGAGGTGAGGGAGGCGGGTACCAGAGCGACACAGGAACGGTTAATGGAAATGAGTGACAGGCTTTCAGAATGATTTACAACGGGCGGGCGGTGGTGGAGCCCGGTGCTTTGATGGATGATCCTGAAAGACGGCGAGCGACCATAAATCATGTCTTTGAATCATTGACAGAGATAAAGGAGGGGGCGAAAAAGCAATGGCATTGATGTTCATTCTTCCAATAATGTACATTGACGAGTTACACTACCGAGCCTTAATTAAAAAGTGAATGCGGGCTCTGCTCTCTCTCGCTCGCTCGTCCCCCCTCTTTTCCACTGTGATATCAGCGGTAATTAAAGATGCATCGAGGCCCCGTCCCCGGTCTTGCTCCCACTTCCGCCCATGGCTCACAGTGGCCAGATTAGATAGACGCTTGGTGAGGAGATAACGTCACTCCCACTCCTCTCCTCTCAGTGAGGGGCCTCATTGCTCAATGGCTTTCCACTTCAAGAAACACGCACAAATACACACCTGCTTTCCCTCCCAACTAGCTGCTATGAGTGTTTTCTACTTCCCTACGCCGTCTGTACAGGTGTCTGACTGGGACTGCATTTCTAAATTCAAATATCCTGGCACAGCTTGTAGCAGCGCCTTTGTAAAAGCAGTAAAAAACGGCATCCGCACAAAGACGCTGGACAGTATTCAAGCTACACGGATGTGGCAAACAAATTTTGGAGGGCAGCTGCTTCCAAAGAGACTCTTTTCTGCAATGAAGTGATGGATGTCAGGAGTAGAAAGGGAAAGAGAAATACAGCGAGACAGGAGAGCGGGATAGAAAGATAAAGCTGGAGAAGACATGTAGAGGCGGTGGCAGGCGAACTGAGGAGGCAACATTCCACATCAGATGGGATCCTCCAAAGTGCATACAATAAAGCAGCGAGGTGAAAGTAATCCCGAACATCTGTCCTGGGTGGCATGCACGTGCCGCCTGTTTGTTCCATTCGAGGAAAGAGGCATTAGAGAGGGAGGATAGGATCAATTCATGCACTACTTCTCTGAGGGAATCCAAGTGCAAACGGTACTCTGTTGTTATACATAGCCTGGAACAAGATGGAGACCGATGCAAAGACAGGAAAGAAGTGAAGTGCAAGACCCTGGGACCCAACTGAATGCTGTTCGGTCGCTGCATGACATCCCTGTGGAGAGTGTGGCGTAGCAGCTAAAGCTCAGGGCCAGTGAAAAAAAGGTTCCTGGTTCAAGTCCCACAAGGAATGAGTCTTATAGCAAAGTAGAGCAGTTGATAGATATGAATAACATGTTTTGAGTGTGTGGAATGCAAAGTTAAGCGCCGTATGGATGAATGGATAGATAGATAGATAGATAGATAGATAGATAGATATACACCCTTGCATTTTTTTCTGCATCCTTGTAGTGCATCACCCACACTGAAATCTTAAAATGTGAGTTGCTGTACACAAAAGTGCTACTCACTGACTACTTACCGACATCCCTCCTTTGGATGACTGCATTGTTGAGGATTTTAATGAGGGTGACTTGATGGTACTACCATGGCTTTGACTCATCATCGCTGGATGTGAGTCTAAACGTCCAGCCAGTCTTTGACAATCAGTGAAACCGTGATCCAAACAATGAGGCATTGAGATCTCAGATGCTTCTTTTACTGCTTCTTATGTTACTGTCCTCAGCTGTCAGCGCTTCAAAAGACATGGACGTGGGCCTTACGTCAGAGGCCAGACCTCCTTCTGACTTGGCCACTTAGTTCAAGTCGTGCCTGAGACTGTAACCTTACACCATGGCTCTGTGGGAATTTGTGCAAGTGTGTGTGTTGTGAGCATACTAAGAGACACAAAAATGTCCCTCCAGCTGGACGATGACATTTTGGCCGGTTCTGAAAAGAAATTGTGGCAACAATAGTGCTCCTGTGGTGCAATACTGTGGCACACACACTACTGGGGCCTAGCGAGAGGTAGAGAAAAACGAGGTAGCGTTGCACCAACCTTGAAGTCTGGGTTTGGGTGTTCAATCTGGTAATTATTTTTCATCGGATTCTGAAGTTGTAAATCTATCATGTCGGATCCCATGCTGACATTTTCAAACATAGCTTGATGAACACCTGAAGTAATTACATGTCATTCCTCTGTTTGAAGTTTTCCAGGTTTAGTGCCACATCTTTCTATTCATCTGCTGTCGGCAACCTGCAATGGTATAACTCAGATTTGATTCTATCAAAAAAAGAATGCGTTCTTGATTCTTGACAAAGATGAACAGATGAGGAATTGCATACTGTGATGCGAACACACCAAGAAACTCAATAAACTCGAGAGAGTCTCTTTGTCTTGGAGTATTTACTCGACTCGGGGCCCTGTGATCTTAAATGGTCTTAAAAGATGATCCATACAATAATGAAGTCCGCTCTCCTGTTGGCTGGCCTCCCAAACGCACAACATAATCAAAGCGAAGTCACCAGGGGATTCTGTGGAGCTGCTCTGTGTTTGACGAGCAAACATTCGTTTTATTTGTTTGTCACGGACCTCTTGGCTGAATCCACTAACGATGGCAGAATATTAATTGATGTATATGGAATGTAAACACCAATCTGTAAGGTAAAAGTGCTGCGACGTCAAAATGATGTGTGTGTCAAATTGACGTATACTCAACCTGAATTTAACCCTGAAGTTTATCAATCTCAGATCAGCAGCGGAAGTCATAATGAGACCGCAGTCTTGTTCGGTCCTCACCTACCCACGCACTTGCAACAGCACGGATCCCACCCTCTCCCCTGCACACTGGGTCAGACCACCCTGTTTGCAGCAGTGGCAGCTCAGGCATCTGTACTTGCTGTCTTGTTGTTCTTGGAATGCAGTGAAAGCAAATAGCTGCTTAAATGGCCCCCTTCGTTCCCAGACAAAACCAAAAGGCTGTAGAGCCATTCATCAAAAGAGTCCGACAACCTGCTCCTCTACCGCCCCCCTCCAGGCACGGCCATATCCCCTCTCTGGGTTTTAACTAGGACTCCATATCATTCCAGAAATGACAAATGATACTTATATCTGTGGCCTGTGCCGAATCAATAGGCATGCAGAACGGCTATCCATCTTGAGAGCTATCGACAGCTGCTGCCTGACATCAGGGGAGAAGCGCCTGGTGGCTTTATTCAACAGTTAGACAAAGCTAATGGCAGCACATATTTTCCCTGAAGTTTGTAAACCGACCGTCCTGTCCTCAGCAGTCCGAGTTTATAGCTTTAAATTTTTTATCTAGCCACTTTTCTTTAGTATACAGTGCTAAAGTTATGACAAACCTTGTGACAAACCAGCTAGTGGCACAGCAGCTCTCTGACTACTAGCTTCTTTGCTACAATAGGTATATTTTCAAAAGTTTTAGGAGGATTTCTTTCATCAAGCATCAAGCCCATGTCGACTGTATAAATTGCAATTTTTATCTAGCCTCTTCTACAGTGCTAAAGTTATGACAAACCTTGTGTTTATCATAGTGCCACAGCAGCTCTTTGGCTACTAGCATCTTTGCTACGATAGGCAGGCTACGTTTTCTAAAGTTTTAGGAGGATTTCTTTTAACAAACATCAAGGCCAGCTCGATTTTATAGATTGTAATTTTTATCCAGCCTTATTGCTATAGCATACTATGCTAAAGTTATGACAAACCTTGTGCTTATTACAGTTAGAACCACGGCAGTATTCTTCTACTGGCTCCCTTGCTACTAGCTTCTTTGCTACGAAAGGTACATTTTCAAAAGTTTTAGGAAGATTTCTTTCAACGAACATTCAAGCCCAGTTCGATTTTATAGATTTAAATTTTTATCTAGCCTCTTTTCTATAGTATACTGTGCTAAAGCTATGACAAACCTTTTGTTTATCACAGTTAGTGCCACAGCAGTATTCTTCTACTGGCTCTCTTGCTACCTCTACTTTGCTGCAATAGGTACGTTTTCAAAGGTTTTAGAAAGATTTCTTTCACCAAACACGTTGAGTTTACAGCTTTTATTTGTTTTATCTAGCTGCTTTTCTATGGTATCCTGAGCTAAAGTTATGACAAACCTTTGACAAGCATAAAAATGAAATACTCCCTATGAAAGCTAGCAGTACATTTATGACCTTCTGTAAAGGTATGTAGGTTGTGCGCAAGGCTAGCACCTGCCTGTGTTTACATGGCAGTTTATGCTGCCGTGAGCTGATGGTGGAGCGATACGGGCTCGGGCTGCACAGCACCGTCTGTATCGCAGCAGCTGACAGATAGCACTTCAGTCCAGTTTTAGCTGCACCTTCTCTTGAGAGACCATGATTGATGACTAGCACTGCCACCTATATCCATTTTCCCCTCCGATCTCTCAGGCTGAGGGTCCACAAACAATTTCTCAACATTTTTCAAACCACCTTTAAGGGCTCTTTATGGGAATGAAGTTAATAAAAACATGAGTTTTGCAAGAAAAAATTTAAAGAGATGACTGGTTTGAAATGGTGGTATTATAATGCATTATGGAATTTTAAGAAAGTCTGCAAACCTGGGAGTTCAGGTTTGAACAGAATGATCTTAATATGAATGTGAAAACAATGTTTGCAAAAATTAACCTAAATATATCCCACTTTTATTAATGACAAATAATTGTAAAATCAAGTTAATGTACAGAATGACCACAAAAATACAAAGAAAAAATATCACTACAAATGTGATTTAATTGGTATGTGTCATTGTGCCTCAAAGAAATATAGAGCTGAGTATTGTCTGTGTAACAGTGAAAACGAACTCTATGTTTCTTGATGATATTTATGATAATATATACAGGGTGAAAAACAATGGTCCTAGTACTGAGCCTTATGGTACTCCACACCGAATTTGTGATTGATATTCATTTTGAGATTTGCTAAATGTTTTCTTTAACAGCTTTATTAAATTATTAATGTTTTTAAAGATTAACTTTAAGTGAGTGTTAGATGATGGCAAATGTGATCCAAATGTAATATTGGGGGAAAGAAGCATAAACAATTCAATATTCAATACTGACAGAAACAGGAAAAAATAACTAATATTGGCATATGCATGCTTTTCAATCTTTACATCAGTTTCTGCCTTTATAAATACTGATTGTTTTTCCACGTTAACACAGGACCACATCCATGGAATTCAGGCTCAAATGCATTTTATAAACGAGGTCCCAGGATTCCCGTGAGACTATCAAGAGAGGAAAAACAAAAAATGCCGCAGCTCAGACAAAAGACAGTCCTCTGTGTTTTTGTTACAGTCTCAACTGTTTGGACGACGGTCTGGTGTAGTACATCTTTTGAAAACCAAGCATCCAAGCCATCAATTTTAACAATGCCACCATAAACGTGTTAACGAACACTTAGCCTAGCCGTCTGGAAGACAATTACACAGGAACAAACATACCAGCTCAGCAACTAAAGGCTGGGTCATCAATCACAGACGATGGTCACAATCTAGATGACTGTTTCTGCTGAGACCCAGCCTAATAACCCAATGAACTGCTGTGTCCAGAAGAAACAAGTTTTAGGCCCTTAGCTTTTCAGTATGCTAAAGGGCATAACAATGATATAACTGTCACCTACGTTTTGTCATTTTATTCAAATGAATCCTCATTAATTGGTTCATTTTACCCAGCAACAGCACCAAAATACTGCGTCCTGTCCCTAAGTTACAAAATCAACAATACTGTATATGCATATACTGTACATATTCCTGACCAAAACAGCTATGAGATATCTACATCTAAACAGTGGAGTTAATTCTCCAAGGTGTCCTCCGGTCAGACGTCCACAGTTAAACCAATCCTGCTCTTCTCTTTGAGTAGCTTAATTAATTAACATTTTCTCTTTCTAATTGCAATCATGCGCCCCTTGGGGAGTCATCAAGGGACTATAATTGCAATTACACATTTGGATGAGTTGGTAAAACAATGTCAACGTACACACCAAATCTGAAGAGATACAGAGTGAGGGCTTCAAGTGGGTTAGTTTCGCTTCCTGGCATGGGTTCTTTGATGGGGAGATACTTACAAATGCTGTATATGCAAAGAGTGCTGATCAAAGGACAGATCTAATGAGCTGTTTAGACAACATTACATTCATTAGTTTCAGTGTTGACGAGTAACTAACTAAAATGAAAAATGCTACTAACTTAACCACATTTTTCAGTACCTCAGGCTCAGCTGTTTTTAATAGCATGGCCTATCCACTAAAACTATTTTCAAACAAACAACTAACAGTTGTGCAATAAAAAATGCTACATTGCCATTTTTATTGCATAATGTAGTATACATTCACCCTTCAACCTTACAAACAAACAAGCCAAGGAATTAATCAAACACACTCTTCTGAAATATACCATCTCTCTAAGCAAATCAGTTCATTCGGATACAAATTAATTGGTTCAGGAACTTATTTAATCAATCTCTCTCTCTCTCTCTCTATATATATATATATATATATATATATCATTTGAAAAAATGTAAATGAAATATATATAAAATGTAAAAATCACATATATAGTAATTGTCACGAACGCTACTGTGAGGGAGCACGGAGCGAGGAGACATGGAGTATATCAACAAGGAGACTTTAATAACATCAAGGGAACCAGGAAAACACACGTAGCAGAGGAGGTTGACATAAACATAACATGGAGCACGTGGGGAACAAAACACAAAACACGGAACAGAGTCTGACATTATTCCCATGCTGGGAGCTCTGGAGGCCTTTCAGGACAGGCTTACAGGGAATGATGGCCTCCAGGGCGGTACCTATTCCGGGACCCATGGTGGATCAGGCAGACTGGGGAGCATGGCAGATCAGGCAGCTCAGGGAGCCATGGCGGAACAGGCAGATTAGTCTCTCTGGGCTAAACTCGGGGACTGGAACTGACACTGGAGCGAGCTCTGGGGCTAGGATGAGGGCGGAGAACAGTCTTTTTCTCGTCATCCTCCTCCTTTTATTAGAGGACATCGGCGCGGCCAGCGGGCTTGACATCAGAACGGCCAGCAGGCTGGAGAGAGCCACGGCCGGCGGGCTGGAGAGTGCCACGGCCGGCAGGCTTGTCTGCTGAGCGGCTGACGGGAGGAGGTTGACATAAACATAACATGGAGCACGTGGGGAACAAAACACAAAACACGGAACAGAGTCTGACATTATTCCCATGCTGGGAGCTCTGGAGGCCTTTCAGGACAGGCTTACAGGGAATGATGGCCTCCAGGGCGGTACCTATTCCGGGACCCATGGTGGATCAGGCAGACTGGGGAGCCATGGCGGAGCAGGCAGAATAGGAAGCCATGGCGGAGCAGGCAGACTAGGAAGCCATGACGGAACAGGAAGCTCGGGGAGCCATGGCGGAGCAGACAGTTCAGGGGTCCATAGCAGAGCAGACAGTTCAGGAGGCCATGGCGGAGCAGGGAGCTCGGGGAGACATGGCGGAGCAGACAGTTCAGGGGGCCATGGCGGAACAGGGAGCTCGGGGAGCCTGGCCTCGGCACTC